ATAGTAGAGGGTAGATCTACCTAATAAGACTCTTTCCGGTACTTATTAGTATATATAGAATAGTATCCTTCTATAAGTTATATAACGACGCTAGAGTCTAGACCTAGTACGTATAAGGAGAGAATTTATATATACTCTTTATAATCCGTATAATCTTCTCTAGTAGACTCTTAGGGTCTTCGGGCGTTAAGTCTCGTATAGATAGAGTATTTACTTCGACTATACTATTAAAGGTAGATAATGAGGACGAGAAACTCGATATAGGCGTCTCTATATTACTTCGGTCGTATTAAGCTCTCGGATATCTATTTTAATACTAATAATCTATTAATTTCTACTGTTAGTTATACAGCTACTAGCTTTATTTAATACTATAGTAATCTTAAAGTCTTTAAGGTTAAGAAGTCGGATTAGGAATATAAGGATATCTTAATGAATTCTTAATATTTTCGAAAACGGAAAAGTACTTTTTATAGGCTAAAGGATTCTCGAGGTATTATACATATACTTTTTACGCTAATAAATTACTATAGTTGAGTAAATTAGGAAAATGAGCTAAACGCGATGAAATTATATACATTTACTTAGTCGCGAACGCGACGATCGGCTGTTTATACGTATCCGTACTTAGACCCTTCTACGAAGGCCTTTTACTCCGCAAAAGGTTAGCGTTTACGCTAATAGCCGCTAGGCTACATGAGGTAAGGGTCTGATTTATCTGAGATAACTAATAACTGGGCACCTAAATTTCCGGCGGCTCATCCATATATGGTAGAGCTGGAGATCAAGTGCTGTCATGAAGGTCGATGAACTCGTCGAAGTCTACCTCACCCATGAACGAGTTGGGCTGCCCCGTTACCATGGCATCATCCACGTAGGCATCTTCTGTTTGTATTAATTCGAGCGCACCAGTAATGAACGTCGTGTCCAGCAGACCGTCGAAGGTGTCTCCCAACTCAGGCAGCTCACAGCTCTCATTCGACTGACAGCTACACATACTCTGAGTGCTGCTTCCCGCAGGAGAAGAGACCGGCAGCGCAGGCAATTCGTGCTCTTCGGGGTATTTGCCTTGTGATAGCGCAATCTGGATTACGACAATCGCCCTCAGGAAAACCTGGGGCGAGCCGACGAGGCTTTCTACGCCATCGCTGTTGTTCGATGGAGGACACTTTTCGGCCAATATAACGTCCCGAGAGGAAGGAGGCGGCATTTTGCGCGCATCCAAGCAGGTGACGATCCGACGAATGTAGTCGAGGACTTGGTCGACTCCTTCATATTTTTCTTTGAGTGCATTCAGAGCAGCGAGATAGACTTCTAGGCGCCTGCGAGCGGTGGCTGATTGTTCCCACTGACGCAGCTTGATATTCAAGATATGTCGGAGTACAGGTATGGCGATATGGGCAATACTGTAGCGACTCATTAGCCGATGTAAGTCTTTCTTTTTTGCATACCGCATGACTGACATGGAAATGGGCATGAATGACAGCATATCCTGATCAGTGATTCGCTGCAGACTCGTATCAATGCCGTGGATGGCAGTTTTGACTTCTCTCCAGCCCGCTGAAGCCTCCACATGTAAAGGACATCCTTTCGTGATTGCAACATAACTTGCGTGATTCCAGAGTGCTATCTTGGTCCAACTGTGTTTTGAGATTAGACACACCCGAGAAACGAAAAGATGCAGCTTACTGATAGTAGATGGAGATGACATTGTTTTGCAGGTTGAGAAATTTATCCGCGAGGCTATTGACGCGGTATCTTGCCAAATTTTCGGCAAACCAGTGATCGAGGTCTTCTGCACAATCCTGCACCCTCTCAGTAATCGTCGTCGGCTCCTCGGAGCCTGGGCTCGATGGATCCAATGACAAGATGCAAAGAACCTGACTCGATAAGATGGCCAGTTTGCAAAGTGCACAGAATGAAGTCGCCAAAGCCAGCTTGGTGGGGAAGTCATAGACAATCGACTGAGCCGTTTCAGCACGAAGGATCCTGGCTCCGTCTCCAGCAAGAATTTCCTTCTCTGCTCCGATCTGCAATGGCCTTCGTAGTGCTAGCGCCAGAATCCGGTCTCGGACCAGGCAACAACACCAGAGCCGCTGTAGTACGCTCCGACGCTGGACAGAAGCTTCCCCGAGGAGGTTTTGTCGATGTGCGTTGATTGTTCTAGCTAGACTTATGGCGCTGCTCAGCCATTGAGTGTTCGCCTGAGGATCCGAAGCTGAGACGTAGTATGTAATAAGCAAAGCGCCTTGTGCGCTACACAGGTTACTTCTGTATGAGTCGACGTGGAAGAGAGCCTAGAGAGATACCCTTGAGTCAAATAGACACAGCTGTGGGTCGGGTGTCACGTACCTTGGCTCGACGGTAGAAAGCGGCACGAGCTGTGCGAAAGTTGGGGAAGCCGAGTCGTTCAAGTATGGAGAATGGAAAAAACTGTAACATGAGCCTGACTCGGCCGCTTGGAGCTGAAACGCACTCACACTGCAAGCTGCAAATAACATCGCTTGGAAGACAAATATGGAGATTGTCCTTGTCGGCGCTGACGACGTCTCGGTGTAGGCCCTCCAAAATTCACCTTCGTCTAAAATGGGCAGCTGAGGATGAATGTAACGAAAATACGCCTTGACAAACTCGTCCACTGAAGCTCTTGCAGGTACTTGGTAGCATCCCAGTTTCTCCAGGTATTGTAAATCTTGCAACAAGAGCTGGTGGACTGCGTCTGCGGAAAGGAATGGATAATAAGAGTACATGACATCCGTTCCGCAGAGTGTCAGATCTGCACACCGCCCAGGCGCTGCGCACTCAGTCTTTGCAGTGTCGTATGAAGGTCTAGGACTGGGGAAAGAGAAGGTAGATGCAGGCCTCGATCGCGAAGTTTGTAGTGCTCCTCGTGTCTCGCAGTCTGAACTGTGGCGACTCGATCTGAGGCTCTTCTCTGTTTTGGCCTGGACACCTTTTGCGGCTCAAGGCACGCAAAGGTCATGGCGCAAGTGGAAGGGTCCGTTCGGTTGACAAGGGTCTCTGTAACACGTAACCCAGGTCAGTTATGGTGTTGAAGACTGCACAAAGGAGGCCCCTTTGTCCGCCAGCCCATACTCACATCTTTTTTGATCTCGACCGCATGATACAGCTGATGTAGTCCAGCCTACAATTAGTGCAAGGGACACCTTTCTGCGTAGCGTCACATCGAACTTTTCGTGCCCGACAGGTCAAACAAGCTGTGCGAGCACGACCCAATCGATACTTGGGATTCTCACGTGTCGCCTGCATATAGGAAGGATCCAGCGTGCCTTCGTTGGGAGGAGCATGCTCTGAGCTATCGTTCGATATGCTAAGCCACTGTTTGAAAATGAGCGGCAAGCGGGCGAAGACGCAGATAGAGGCTCATATTGATCTGGGCTGGAGGAAACACTTTTGTTGAAGCAATCGTATCTGGGGAAGACGCGCTCGCGAAGGGCCACATACTCTGTTGGCAGTCCAGGCCATAGCTCATCTCTGGAGGAGAGGTAACACGATTCGTGCATCGGCCTCTCGATCCCAGTCAATGCTTCTCGGTGCTATCTAGATACTCCAGGCCGCGGCAATATTCGGTATATTTCGGTTGCGGGGCCCAAGCGAGTCCCAACTCGCCTCCTCCTCTTCCCCAGACTCAGCGTTCTAGTTTACGTTCCACAATCCAGTTGGCATGCTTTGCGATTGAAGCGGCCGAAAGCCGGTGGTAGCACAAGACATGTCTCGGTCGCTTGTTCTGTGGAATATTTAGCTTGCTCTTGAAGACCGCCCTCACAGCACGTTGAGGCCTGCGTTAGTATCATTACATCCGAAATCATTCTCGGCAGCGTTCCCAGTTTGGAGTAACGCAGGGGTGCAGCACTTCTGAAGGTGCCGGCGTCAATTATCCCGTGCATACCGTGCACAGCGTCCTCGGTACACACCCGTAATAATACAAAAGTATCACATGACCACATCTCCTCCCACAGTGCACGTAGAAGTGCATTTCAATGATTATATGCAACAGCATCATGCAGCCGCAGTAATCCGTACACTCAGTGCCAATGCTCTTCGCTCTGTCGTTTGCAACACCACAATCGCGTTGGCGACGGTGAGATGCCATGGCCTTTGGAGGCATGTCATTCACAGCAAAGTTCCCCTTGGTCATTTGACTATGGTACGGTACGTTCACTAGTGCAAAGAAATGTGGTTGATCCGGACCAGACTGAGTGTGAGTGTGCTGTTGAGTTTCAGATGCACTGATCGTTATATGGGCGTGCACGGAGTGATTGACGCCGTCAAGAATCCCTTGGCAGCGCTTAGTCAGCGTTTTAGCCCCTGCCGAGTATCTATCTCATCACGTGCTAGCCAAATCACTAACCAGCCGCTGTCTCCCCAAAAGCTTCTCCAGGCCCTGCAAACTCCAGATTCTGACTGCCAACCTCACGCACCGCACTTAAATTATCGAATCTCGTCTCTTTTTGCTGCCCTGCTATGCATCAAGTTACGCACATCACCTCTTCCTCGCGCTCCCACAGATAGAGTAACGTCCTTGATTGAATTGCTGGGAACTTCTCGGCGCTAGGTCACATTGTCATTGCGCTGATGGCGTCCACTCATGACGCGTGCCCTGGCGATGCTGGCCAGAGTGCTTCGTATCTCGTCTCTCACGCTCAGAGACGGAAGCGGGGATCCAGAGCCTGTCTCTACTGCCGCACTCGCAAGGTCCGCTGCGATGTCACGCAAAATGGAGTGCCTTGTACCAACTGCAGGGCCGATGCACAGCCATGCATGATTCCAAAGAGGTCAAGAAAACAGTGAGCCATTGCCGCTCCTCCGCCGCTCCAACGTGTTGATTCGCTTCCAGTCGACTCTCTCATACCTCGTTGCTGCCCACGACGCAGTTCGGTGGCCAAGCTTTGCACGATACCGACTTTCCGCAGGTGGAAAGCACGCACGAGGGAGAAGGATACGTAGCTGGTGAACTGCAACAACCTAGCCGCACGTCGATGGCTCCGATGCTCGAGAGAAGTTTACCATACCATGGCATAGAGGGCGAGAGATGGCAGCTGTCGCAGGAACATCGATTACCAGACGCACTTTCATCAACGACCGACATGCCAGCCGCAAGTGATTTCCCTCTTACGGCCGCCAGTGGACAATCTGACAATTCTCAACTTGGAAACTTTGGGGTCAGATACACGGTAACCTCCAATCCGACACGTCCTGCACAGCCACCCGGACATACCGCCGATGCAGTTCACAGTTTCGCGCGACTGAATTCAGCAGAGCAGGTGCATGCAACCGATTATCCCTTCTTGGACACTGACTTCAAGTCACGCATCCCACCGGAAGATTTAGACTATCTTGATTGCATCGGTTGTCTTAAGTTGCCTCAACGAACATACCTAGACGATCTTCTCCGAGCCTATTTTCTTTACACTCATCCGCATTTACCTCTAATTAATGAGGGGGATTTCTGGGACACGTATCTTCACGACCGTACGGATACTCAGAGCCCTTCTCGCATGTCTTTACTTGTCTTCCAAGCAATGCTATTGGTTGCCTGCAGCGTGAGTCTACACCTCAATCTGCTTACTGCGCTTTTCGGATTTGTTCTTTTTAGATAGCGCTGTATTCGCCAGCGCCATGACGAATGTACGCGCTGACTTGGACTCAGTTCGTGTCTTCTTCCACGATCCAGGCTCTAGGATTCTCCAGTGTCCGTGCGGCGCGAGCGAGCTACTACCGCCGGGTCAAGGTGAGCCTGGTTACTACTTCCAGTTGTTCAGAAACCTAATGTGTATTTAGGCGCTGTATGATTTCGATATCGAGAGAAGTAGTCTGGCAAGGGCTCAAGGAGCATTGCTGATGACGTTCCATGTTCCACTCAATCAGCCACAGATCAACACGTACTGGCTGAGCGTGGCCATTCATCTGGCCAAAGTCGCGGGCGCAGACCATTTCTCGACGTATGCAGGTAGAGACCCCGCAAGACACAATCAGCTGAAGCGAGTCTGGTGGTGTTGCATCATTCGCGACAGAACGATGGCTTTGGGGCTCAGAAGGCCTATCAACATTCTGTCGGCATCCTTTGAAGAAATCTGGCCTCTGCTCACGGACCACGACTTGAAGAGTGAAATTGGCCGATCGTGCGTGCGCGGTACTTCGGCGAAGCTGAGACTGCTGCACAGCCTGTCGGCACTATGCAAGCTTTGTGTGGTCCTTTGCCCTATTCTACAGTTGTTATACCCGAGTGACGGCGTTCGTTGCGATAAAGATCGTCTCGAGCTCCTCAAGGGCATTTATATATACACTGAGGAGTTGAACGAGTGGCATGATGGGGCCGCGAGCAGTATGCGAGTCCATGACCCGCGCGACAAAAGCTTCAACGTGGTCATCCTGTTCACCAATCTTCTCACCATCTACTTCCAGTAAGGCACAGTTCTTCGCATGGTCTGACCGCAGCGTACTAATTTCGCCCCAGGTCTGCAAAGGCAGCACTGTGCAATTATAGAATTATGCTCACGGTGAATGAGCCCGCAGAATACAACTTTGAACGACTACAGATCAAGAATGAGCTTCAGGTTGCCCTCCGTGGCATCGCGCAAAGCTTACGAGCCATAATTGACGCCGATATGATCACATTTTCTCCGATTAGCATGTAAGTTCTTCATGGTGCTATCCCGAGTTGACCTGTGCGAAGTGCTGCTAACTCGTGCCTCAGGGTGGCTTTCCTTGCGCTGCCGTCAATCTGCTACAACCTGGATCTGAGCAACAATGCAACCACGCAGAAAGCCGTCAGCACTTCTGGGGCCAATATATACCAAGATTTCCTCCGCGTTCTCCAGCTGAGATACGAAGGTACCGATAGGGCTCTGGGCAATATGTCAAAGTTGGTGAATCATATGAACCTGGAAGATGCTACCTCACCTATGACAGTGAAATCGACATCAGAAAACCACCTGCCGGAGCGGTCAGAGTTGGATCGACCTATGGAGATGGCTGATCCTGCCAAACGTGGGGCAGGAATCGAGATTGTCATTTCTGATCCGCAAAAGTACCTTCATATGAGCAACACGTTGGATTTCTTCCTTTCCCGGGGCCGCTTTCCCTCGAACCACGATAATTCATCAAATCTTGTGGTGTCGCCAGCCGACTCTAACGCTTCACCCATCGCAGATCGGATGAACGACTCAACGGCTGATGATTCGAGCGACGCTACGCTCAGGTCCCTGCAGACGACTGGCATGGCAGACTGTGTCTTGGCGACTTCATCATCAGGATTGAATGGGTCGGTGGCATCGCGAGGTGCCGGCAGCGGTAATGTCGAACTCTCTGTCATGCTCACCGACGAACCTTTTGCATCGGACGCCATCCACCCGTGCGACTTCTCCTTCGAAGACTTCATGACGGACGGACCAAACTCGGGTATCGAGCGACTGCAGAACATGCTTTATGCGTACCCGGACTGGTCATGAAGGACTTGAGCCCCGACTCTTCTGGCATAGATAATACCTCAGTTTTTCAACGACAGAGAAGGATCTTGAGTATAGATAGCAGCTGGAACGGCTGAAACATCCTGCCTTGCCAAAACGTTGGCCCAATGCAAATGAGTTTGGAAAAGACCGCAGACAAAAATTGGTTTGACGTGGTTTCGAAACCTGCGCACACTGAAGGGCCGTCGAAAACCTGGATGGACAAACTCCAATGGACAGTCAAGTCAGGGGGAGCGTGGGTGAGTCGATCACCACCAAAAATAACTATAATAGTCATCATTCCAAGTACTCTCGAAAAACTCGGGCAAAATCATCATCTCGCATGTTAACAAGTCTGATCTCGACTTTGCCAATTCGTTGCGCTGGAATCGGTAGACGGTGCCACGGCCGAAGACGTTGCTGATCTCGTTGGCCGCCTTCAAGGTCTTCTCCTTCGGATCTGGAAGAGGAAACCATTCCATTTGGGGCCCGGGCATTGCTGGGGGAAGATGTGGAACAGAAAGTGGAAGAACGAGCTCCAGGTTATGCATTAGTCAACGCCCGTTACAATACATGTCGGCGCTGGCCGATCAATCCTGCAACGGCGGATAACGGAAGATGGTCTTGCTTGTGATCCATAAAATCCAGTGGATGCTCAAGTCATGAAGCTAGATGGAAGTATCATCTAGGTAAGCACTGAACCAGATCTAATGTGGGCTTTGAGAGATGTAGGTGGAAATTCTGAGGTTGTCACCGCATCTGAGATGTGCCTGTAAAAGTATCCCATCACAAATCTTCTCCGGCCACATCAATCGATCTGGCATTATTTTAGAAGGACTACCGGTTGGTCATGGGAACGTTTGTGCTGATGGAGGTTATGTAAAAGGTGAGGGCCTTGCACTTCCGCTCAACTTGACTCACCACCTAAGGCTGTGTATCAATTCTCTTGGATATCCTAGCTTGGAAACAGCCTGGCCCCACACGCGACATCAGCAGAACCTGTAGTTTGGAACGGGCGTGGTACCAGGCTCGGCCGAAAGTGATCCTTTGGCCAATAAAGCCATGGTAGAGGGACCGTATCAGATTCGTCCAGGTCACACAGGAGCCGATTACTGCCCCAGTTTCATCGAAGAATTTGTAGATCCAAAGATGGTAAACCAATTCCAGTCGCTCCGAGCAAACTAGTAGTGATGCATTCAGGTTTTCGGAGCCGAAACAGGCTAGTTGGTAACCACGCTGACGGTCTTTACATTCCCTTGGCGAACCGGTCAGTCGCATTCAGAGAACCTGCGACAACATTTCAAAAGGTTCCTTTGCACCAGATTCATCGCCAATCCAATATCTCGTCTCAAAGCGGCTGCAGAGGGGCAGCCCTCGGGCGTCGAGTGCCATGAACAATGTTAGAACGGTAGCTCTGCGAATAGCCAGGACAGGCTTACACGCCTCGCCTTCACACCCTTCTCTCCGACCCAGCCCGCGAGCATAGTTTCTGAGCGCATTTACCTGTCACGACCAGGAGTCTCTGACATACCAGCGATCGCGTAATCCGTTTCCTCAATCTACCTTCCCCGGAGTGCAGTTTCGTACCTTCTCGCTGTCCGCTAGACGCAGCTTTTACCAGTCCCCCATCGTGCAGAAACTCAAACCTTATGGAACTAACAACAAGCCTAAGAAAAGCTTAAAGTTTCAGAACACAGAACTCAGCAGAGAGCAGATACTGTCTATATTCGGACGCCGCGCCCCGCCCACTCAGTATGCGAATCGGCTATTCTAAATCCTTCATAGCCGCCGCCACTATGTAACGCTAGATCTGCCGCTTCCTAAGGAAGTCGAGTCGTAGTTGGGGAAATTCCCTCATACAGTCGAGGATGGTCTATGTTATGTAAGATAGATATATCCAATCGAGGAAGATGAGGCGATTCTATACCGTATTAAGCGTGAAGAGGACGAATTTCTAAAGGACCACCCTTCGGTTCTAATGTGAAGAGGACAAGATATTAGTCTCTATAGAGCGCATACAGCATCGGAAGAGCCCTATTACGGTCCCTAGAGCGGGCACTATCAGGCCGAGCTTAGCGAAAGGGAAAGCGACCCCTACGGAGAGAGTGAACTAGATAGGATTCGCGTAGAAAATGAAGCTAGACTCCATCCTTCTTCTACCCCTTAAGGTTCACGGTGTCCGTTAGATATTTTTATTATAACTCTTATTATATCCTCAGTGAAACTGCTCATTTTTTGGATTTTTACTCGCCACTGTATCTCTGGGTCAACGATACGGCACTTTTGAACGTGACCTCGATGATGTGCTGGCAGGATATCGAGGAAGTTGATGCCACGGTTACTTTCCTGCCTCCGAGCATGAAAGTCGATGCTTCGCGGCCACCAATTGTTGATGAGAGCACGAGAAGAACCACTAAACCGAAAGCACAGCTCTTGACTGCCGAATGATTGTAGATAACTTGCCTGTCTGGCGGATTGGACCTCCTCAGGGCGACCAAATCGTGCGTGAGTCGCTACTCTACGCTGCTTTGGAGCCATTACATACTACCCGGGGCACTGGATACTCGAGCAGTTCGTCAGTCGATTCTTTATTCCAAACCTTGATTCTCGGAGGATCGGGTTTCGACCCTGAAGATCTGATGGGGGTTGAAATTAAGTCGAGCTCCTTGGCCGCGACCCAGTATCTCTACCGGAGGTATATGGCCTTGCATATCAACGCCAATATGCGCGAGACATACGCCGCTGGTGCTCGACCCCCTGTCTACAATGCCACTCTCTATAGCGGCATCGGGCTTCGCCTGATACAGAACAACTCATCCAAGATTGCACTTCGAGGCATTCTACGAACAATGATTCTCTTCAGCCTCCTGGCATACGCGACATTGCCGATATAGAGCATCCGAAGATCGTTGCCTCACAACCCGTGCACCATTACCGGCATGATGAGCTTCCTCGCCGGAGACTCTGTCTAACCCAGCGATATTACTCCTGTAGGCGCAGAGTTCACGACTGACCAACAGCTGGACCGTGTGTTTGCCGACCGAGTCTTGCGATGGGCTGGTGGTTCCCTGCTGCGAAAGGAAAGAGACTTGCGCAGACGAAGTCCGATGTCGACTTGACCGAGCAGCCGATAAAGGAGGCGCACGATTTGGCATTGGTGTCCAGAACTCCGCTGGAGAGGCCAAATAAGGGCTGCTAATCCGTCTCGCCGTGTAAAGACTGTCCGTTTAGACTTCTCCTTCACTTTTCAAGGCTTCTTGCGAGATTCCAGGCTCCATGCCCCTTATCCACCCCGTAAGATACAATAATGTTGCGCTTCGATTGAGAGCTGATCGGGCTCTATGATTGGATGGCGCAAGATTACTGCAGGAGAGTAGCTCTCTCGTCTTCCGCCCTATAAGATAACATGACTTTATGTGTATTGGTATATGTATTCTGACCCCAAGCCTTTGCTAAGGAGCGGAGGAAATGGATTTCATATCGGTCAACTACTATCAAGAGCATATGTATACGTCAAGTAAAAGTGAGCAAGCTACTCTGGACTGAGATCAATTCGCCGGTAAAGTAGGGGATAAGCCATCAAGCCAAAGGACCTCCTCTGATCGATGGGCAGATACTTCTTCAACAGCTGCAGCTAATTCAGCGAGGAGGTTCTCCAGCAGGGCTTGATCATGTTCACTCCCGACAACACCGACGTGCGTCTGTCCTCTCTGGACGAAGGAGACGGCCTTCACAGGATGGGCCGCGTCGCCATGTGGATTCTGGATCTCCACCCTGCAAGTCTCCCCCGCGAAGGGCATTGTGTCATAGTCCTCGAAATCCTGGTGGTGGACGACGGAATCGAAGAATAAGCGTGGTGTCAGCAACGACGAGCCCGACGAATCCGACGAGGATGATGATTCTGAGGACGACCATTGCGTATTACAGCTCTTGAAAATCTCCCCAAACCCAACAAAATCGTAGGCCGCGGACTCGGCACTCTGCCTCTGCACGAAGCGCAAGAGGTCCATCGCCGTCCACCCCGCCTCGAACGGGACTCGCACCGGTGTGAACTGGTAGCATGGACCCATGACCTTGTCCACATCGGGCATGTCCATGTTGCGGCCAGAAGTAATGGAGCCGAATGTCACGTCGTGTTGCTGCAGACGGCGGGCCAGGACCACCGCCCATGCCCCGGTCAGTAGGCTCGCTGTTGTGATCTCTGTGGGACGGCGGGAAGTTTCGACCGGTTTGGTCAGGAACAACGATCTTGTCGTCGCGTACTGTGCTGACGTTCCCTCCAATATCGATAATTTGGAGTTGTCCAGAAGATTGCGCCAGTAATTCAGGGCTGGTTTCTTGATGCGTTCATCGCTAAGGCGGGCCATGTAGGCGGAGAACGGCCGGAAACCATCCACAGTTCCTCTTGCATATAGGGTTTCCAGGTCTCGAAGCAGCCTGGGCAAGGAGATACCATCGTATTGAGCATGGGATAGTCTAAAAACGAGGCAGCTTTTGCCATCTGTACCCTGGACATGGAAAATATTGAGGAAAGGCGATCCTAGGGGGAAATCCGATTCTATGTCTGTCTTGCAGAGTGCGACGACGTATTTTTCAAGATCTCCTTCGGATTGGTGCATGCTCAGGGGCGAGTCCAGCTTCCCCAGGACAATTTGAAAGAGCGACGACTCGTGCTCGATAAAGACTGTGCGGAGAATGTCGTGAATCGTGACCAGTTCGTTGCAGGCACGGATGAGGTTGTCGAGGTTGACGCCCTGTTCAAAGTACAACATGGTGTATTGTATGGATGTTCGCGGGGCCTGGATTGTTGCCCTAACATCAATCGCTTGAGACTCGGTCACTGGCATTGCATCTTGAATGGACCAGCGTGGATTAGCTAGCTTCGGTCGCACAACGTCGGACAAGAACTGGTCTAAGTCGTCCACTCCGTCTAATATCGAGAAGGGCTTGTAATCCTGCGCCTTCTCCGTGGACACTTGGTTTACTTTCAACGCTCTGGCGGCGTCGCGGAGCTTCATGTTTTGGAAAATGTCGGCCACTGTCAAAGTATGTCCCTGAACCCGAAGACTCGATGCCAATTTCATGGCCAGCACAGAGTCCCCTCCGAGCCGGAAGAAGTTGTCGTCCAGGTCAATCTTGTCTGGGCTCATTCTAAGTATCTTCGCCCAGGCAGACCGCACGATGTTCTCTGGGGTGGTCAAGCTTGCTTGGGTGGTGGTTTTCTTCCATACCTCCTTCAAGTTTTCCTGTAGGGTTGTGAGGACAGACCTAGGAATTCTGGATGCTATCTGGTTTAATTGGTTATGATCGACTCGTCCCGTCTCGGTCGGTATTTTGTCGACCACAATGTACGCAGAGGGAAGCATGTATGGTGGCAGGGAGTCGTGGATGAATTTGTCAAGCTTTTTTAGGGCAATAGCAACGCTGGGGTGAATCGTATCATGGATCGTTAGGTGTGATCTGGATGGCCCGGGTGCATCGTAGGGTATGTCATGTTTCGCTGCCATGAGCGGAACATGCTCCTCCTGAGAGGGGTGTTGCTCGACGAAAACAACCAATTCAATCTCGGCCGAGTGCTGATCCCCGTCCAGTGGCGATTGGTATACAGCTGCCGCGGTGCGGGTTGTTGATGGAAGATGCTTGGCGACATGAGCTTCGAGGTCTGCGATGTCTACTACGTGGCCTTGGATGGTCGAGCGATTCTCCTTTCGGCCGATGAAAACGAGGCTGCCGTCGTCTCGTAACTGGACCAAGTCACCGGTCGATTGCACTGTTCCGGATCGGCCAGCGCAAGTGGAGCTTCCAGCCAGAAGCCAGGTGGGAGACGAAGTGGTATCAGCTGTAAAGAAAGACCCTTCCAGCCAAAGCTCGCCAATACTGCCAATGGGCGACAAGAGGGACGGGTTTTTTGGGTTACATACCCAAGGTACCACCGCAGGAGGATATATTGATCCTTGGTTGATACTTGCATCTGCTCGAAGCCTTCCGGATGAATTGTCCAAAGACAAGGGAGGAATTTTGTTCCAACGCCAGATCTGATCGAGTTCGGTTTCCGGTAGACAGGAAATTTCGTTTAGCTTCCGAAAGGGATCCTTCATCAGCTGCAAGCAAGCCGTCTCTAGCTGGGCGAGTACTCGTTTCATTTGTGCGACGTCAACTAGGCTGGTGTCGAAGCTCGCACAGATCCTCAAACTACCTTTTTGTGTTCCAAAGGCCAACATAAGTGGATAAGGGTTAAAATGCAGTGCTTCATGGACGACATCCGTCTGCCCAAAACCAAGTTCGGCGCCCACGTACTCTGGTTCTGGTTGGATGACCAGGCCCGTACCGGCTTCGCATGCGTGTTGAGCATCCCTGCTAACCTTTCTGATGTTTTGCATTCCAACATGTTGGTACTTTGTACGCACAAGTACGGCTTCTTGCACAGTTTGTAGGTAAGATTGCACAGAGCTCGTCCGGTTGATATGTATGCGCATTGGTACAGTCGCGATCAATGGGCCTTCGATGTTTTCGACCCTCGCCAAAGAAATATCTCGACCTGTGAGCGTCTCGCCGAAAACGATGTCGTCGCTGCCTGTATACTGTGACATCACGAGCGACCATGCACCGCGAATCAGTGTAGCTATTGTGAAAGTTGATCCAAGGGTTGCCTCCAGAGCAAATTGATGTTCAAGCATGCCGTCGGGGGTCGGCAAATAATCTCTAGAAGGCAGACGCGGGAATTGAGGTCCAACAGCTCCTTCCAATTCCCGCCGCCAGAATTCTTGAGCCTCGACTTCGTTCACGTCTCGCACATATCTGACAAAGTCCTTCATTTCAGCTTGTGGCTCGATTTGCTCATCCCGCAAGGCTTTGCTGACTTTCTGGAGTATCAGAGGCTCAGACCACCCATCGTAGACGACGTGATGGATGGTCCAGACCATATATCGTTTGTCATCCTTTGAGTTGTCGACGATGGCATATCGAGCTAGATTTTGACCAAGTTCCATCTTCTCACTCTGGTCATCATCAAGATATTGCGCTAAATCAGTCGAATATCTCCAGAAGATGCTTTCCCTTAACACAACTTGCTGCAAACCGGGATCTTGGAGTTGCACTAAGCGAGTACGCAGCATAGGGCTCGCCGCGACAACCTCCTCCCAAGCCCTTTTCCAGGCATCAAGGCTGATTTGCGACGGTATACAAGTGACTCTCTGCGCGATATACGCTCGTGTTGATTTGAGGGAGAAGGTAAAAAGCGATTCTTGTGATGGTGTGCAGGGGTAGATGTCTTCGACGGAGGCTGGATCTGTACCACACCATTGTGAAGCTTCGAGGCGGGCACTCTCGGCATCTTGGGAGATCATTGAAAAGGCTGGGGTTTCTGTCCGCGCTTGAGAGCTGCAAATTTGGACAGTGTCGGCCATCTCTAAGAGAGAAGGGCAGCGAAAAATGTTCGCCACTGTGATATCGAGACCTTGAGCTCTACAAACAGACACAAGCTTCATTGCCATCAACGAGTCGCCACCCAGTGCAAAGAAATTGTCGTCAGGCCGAATGGTTTCGGGGTCAAGTTGCAATGTCTGACTCCAGGCCAGCCGCACAAGTTGTTCAAGATCGCTCAGCTGTCGAGGAGCGCTTTTAGTCGTACCTTGGTCTAGCTGTCGAAGGTCGACTGTGGCACCGAACTGCCTCAGTCTTTTGCGATCGGTCTTGCCTGATATCATCACAGGAATGTAGTTGACCGGTATATATGAGGTTGGCACCATATATCGTGGCAGGACCTTGGCCAACTCCTCATTGGCCGCTGACAGTATTTCCTGTAGATCCTTGTGGAGAGGTACCCGCTGTAGATCGGTAGGCTCTTGTCCTTTTAAAGACTGAAATGCAATGAACGCCATCAATGTGGGTTGACCTCCAGAGCCTGAAGGCACAATCACCTCAGCAACGACGTTGGTGCCCGGAGGGAGTCTAGCTTTGAGCTGGTACTCGATTTCTCCTAGCTCGACGCGTTGTCCGCGCAATTTGACCTGAGTATCCTTCCGCCCAATGAAGATAATACCACCAGAGCCGTCGGGATCATATTTTCCAAGATCTCCAGTCTTGTATAGGCGACCTCGGCGACCTTCATAGCCATTATGGCCTGCGACGAGCCACGACGGGTCACTGATAAAAGCCGCTGCGGTTTTGTCGGGATCATTCAAGTAGCCTTGTCCCACAATAGGACCTTCGACAAGTAGTTCGCCCACAGCACCCACCGGCATGAGCAATTCGTGATCAGTGGGATCGACAATCCACATGGCTGCGCCATTGCCTCTCCCGAGGGATACATAGTCTCTGCCGGTGGCAGCGCTGCTGTTGACCATACATCCGATCGTGCATTCGGATGGACCGTAGCCTATGACGATCCTAGTGACTTGGCCCCAGCGCGTCACCTCTTTTGCAGTAGCTGCCTCCCCTCCGAGGCCCAGGGCACTGAGCGATGCCACAACATCCGGGTCCAATATTCTGGCCACCGAAGGGGTCAGGCCGGCATAGGTGACTTGCATTCTTCGCATTGCTCCATTCAAGTCGTTCATTCGATCTTCGTCAGAGGGAATGCAGAGACATCCGCCCCTCGAAAGAGTGCAAAGCATGCTGTCGATGCTGACATCAAAAGCATACGACGCAAAATCGAGAACCCTAGAGTGCTCTGTATAACCGACTGCCTCTGCCCGAGGAATGGCACTGCTTGTGTAGGTTCCATGAGAAATCAAGACTCCCTTCGGGACGCCGGTGCTGCCAGAGGTGAAAATAATGTACATTAGAGTAGATGGGGGAACGACTGTCAGTTTTGGCGTGACTTGCGAACATGAGGCGTGTTTGAACGATTCCTCTTCCACAACCATGAGGTTCCCATCGGGCAAGATTGCAGCCGAATAGTCATGTTGTTTCCGAGATGTCAGCATCGTCTTTGCTCCGACCTGTTTCGCCATGGTTTGCAGACGAGCAAGCGGAAGGGTTGGATCCATCAGCACAAATGTCGCCCCTGCTTTCATCACCGCCAGCACGGCAATGATGGTCCATCTTGACTTCTCAAAGCACACTGGCAGAACGTCGTGCAACTCGACACCCATCTCTTTCAACGAATGGGCAATGGATGTAGAATATTGGTCAACCTCGGCATACGTCAGGTTGCCATCCCAGGATAAGATTGCTAGCTTGTCTTTGAATTTTTGGGCTTGCTCGGAAATTACTTCGTGCATGCAAAAGTTGTAGGATGGTGGTAGTGGGTGATTCCACTTCCATATTTCATCCAGATCAGCTGCCGTCGGCCGAATACCACTTTCAATGGGGTCGCTCGGATTTGAAATGCACATTTTGACAGCATCGACCAGTGCTATTACGTGTCGTGTCATCGTGTATGGCAGCATGTTTTCTGTCTGCCATACTGGACGAATTTTGAGACGACCCTCGTCAAATTTTACTTGAAGGTGCAGTATACACTTCACTCGACAGGTCAGCAATAGGACGCTCGAGTTCATCATATACTCACTTGGTCATTCGCTTCCTCAGGCGTCTGGGCCAAGGAACTGGTGCTCAACAGAAGCGAAACAGGGCCCGTGCCTTCAGGTAGCTTAGTTTCGATACATGCCGTGATGTGGCGAGCAAGTTTAGAACCAACTTGCCCGATACTGTCTTGCAAACCTGTCACGAATTCATCCATCACCAAGCGCCTTTTGGCCGGACCGTGAAGAGCACCATTTCCTCGACCTTCGTAAGCCCAATCAAACCAGATGTGGCCTTCATCTTGTGTTCGTAGGAGAACGAGGAGCCATGCGAGAAGCAGGATTTCCTCTCTCAGGCCCGTCGGAGTGACTTGTGTTTCAGATTCAAGGCCGGCTATCTTGAAAGACCAGAAGCCCTCAGCGTCAGCCTCCCTGGCAGACAATATATTGGCAGAGTCGCCGTTTGCCGGCCTTCGATCATCGCTCTCATCGACTTGTATAGAGCCCATTCTGCGAACAGTTCAGCTTTCGCGATTGCTGGCTGAGCTCAAGATCGAGAAAGTGAGCTGGACTTGAAGCTGTGCTCCATTCGATTGAGATTCAGACGAGTCACTGAATCATCCCAGCGCAAAGGTTTGATTGGCATTTTGGTGAGGAGCTGGAGGCGATGCTCCACACAGGGACCTGGCGTAGCCGACCAGGTGGCATTTCTCATGTCTATGGACTTGGCCTGATGCCCACATCGGGTTGAAGACAAGCAGGCATTTGGAGAGGAGTACATGCTCTGTGCGAGAGACAGAGACGGTCCGGTTATTTCCATGACAGACCTGGTAAAAAAAAAGGAGTTTCGTATTGAAATACAGCTTGTCTCAAGACGCCGGTATCGTAGCACGGTATTCATTACGGTTCGCTCTGCACGATATATGAGAGGCGAAGGATCGGTTGTGGGCAATATGGACAAAATGACGAAATGTGGGCGATGTTGGGGGACTTGTCGTTAGCTCAATACCAAGCCTCTAGCGTGGGCGTCGGCCAATACAAGTGATAATCTAATCTGATAAAGATTTTTCACAGTCCTCCTCTGTGATTTGGCCACGTCGCTGCCTTCGGGAAAACATGGGCATGGCATTTGCACCATCAAACGCGAGACGACATCCGAGCGTGAGTGGACACGCCCATTGCAACGTCTCTACCTAGGTAAGAGTACTCACTACCCTACTCGTACAGGATGACCCCCGCCGGGCACCCCATACGACCATCCCCGTAAACCCCTCCCACTTTAACTTACTCTGCTTCTGCTTTTCGCAACGAGCTTTAACCGAACGATCCACTGAACGGAGCTCATAGTTCCTAAGCCTGCAGGGTTCCCATGGAAAGAAAAGAAGATGCATTGTCTGTGACAAGACACCGGCGATGCCGGAGCCTGAAGAGAAGTGACGGTGCGTCAAGATGCCGCAGTCTGTGGACAAGGATCTAGCTGGACGCTCTGCAGTGTCATTGTGCCAGAAATCCTCAACATGAAAGGACTGCATCCAATGGGATTGACCAGATCACCATACCGGATGGACAAATGTGACGCTGTAGATATCTGGCGGCCTTCTCTTCCTCATTGCCATTGACTCTGAGGCTACATGTCGCTCCAGCAACTGGCCGAAAGACCACCATGTTATGATGGTCCCCGGGGACAAGGAGTCGCAAGTGGACTTTGCATCCTGCGTTTGACGACCTCGACTTCCTGGAGAGATTGCTTGTCGATTTCGCCACGCGAGGGGTCCGTTTTGACAAAGGGTACCAATAAGTGTTGAAGAGCCCTTCTTTCATCCCACTACACATCCTGAATCCCTTGGCGTTTTACTGTATTTTGATTTTACAAAACTACTCGTTTTACATCCCGTTACGCTTGCCCTCCGTATGTTACCAAATTGGTGTTCTGTATTCCCTGTTGCTCAGACCCACCTCGATGGCTACCTCGCCGACCATTAACCCACAAGGAGCAATCCTCTCTGTGCGGCATCGGAGTGGAGGGATTCACTTTCAGACGCTGAAACAATTCCTACGGCAATGCAAATTTCCAGCGTCGTGCACAATGAGAACGACGAGCTGAGTAGTTCTCGAGGGATACCTCGGCCAGGGAAGCAGTCTTTGCAGGTTCAGCACACGGACACGACACTCACGAGGCTGAAAGCAGCCTCGCCAGCTTTGTGTTAACATGAATCTCTTCCAGAAGCTCGTGGGCTACCCTCGCCTGCTTTTGGCTGGTAGCCCTTCCAAAATCGATGCGGGCATGTTATTGTTGGCCATACTATCTGCGATAGCGTCCGGCATCCCATTCCCACTGATCGGTATCCTTTTTGGTCAGCTCATTGACGATTTTAACTCGGCAACTTGCGACTCGCCCGATACTTCCAGTGCTCGGTCACAGCACCAACACAGCATCAACGACAAAATCCTGCTGATTTTGTACTTGGCCATCGCCCAGTTCGTCACCATCTACATGCACCTCTCGTGCTGGACTTTGAACGGGGCTCGGCTCGCACAAAGACTACGAGAGAGTTACTTACATAACCTGCTCCGACAAGAGCCATCGTATTTCGACAATCTGCCTCCCGGAGAAGTCGCCTCTCGACTTAATGGCGACATCCAAGCAATCCGGTCAGGGACATCTGAGAAGGTGGGAATCTGTCTCTCAAGTCTATCCTTTTTCATCACGGCATATATAGTCGCCTTTATCAAGGACTATAAGCTCGCGGCGATGCTAGTCTCGTTGATACCGGCCTACTTCTTGATGTCATTTGTGGGAAGTCATTACGTCGAAAAGTACTCTGGAATGATGTCGGACTACGCTGCTACCGCTGCTTCGATTGCTTCGGAAGCCCTTTCCAATGTCGTTGTCGTGCACGCATTCGGCGCAAACACCCGGCTGGAGGATAAATTCGCCAAGGCGCTCAAGGCTTCAGAGCATGAAGGCCTAAAGAAGGCGTTGGCGGTTGGTGTACAATCCGGGGTCCTGTATTTCATCGCCTATTCTGCGAACGGTCTAGCATTCTGGCAGGCAAGTCAACGGATTGCCGATGCAGTCCGTCATGATGCTACGGCCGCCTCCGTGGGCGTTACGTTTACAGTAGTATTCATCTTGATTGAAGGTCAGTTCGAATCGAACTTCATCTCTGAACTTTACTAATATGTTGTCAGCTACGTTGGTCTTGAGTCAGGTTGCGCCTTTTCTGCACCTCTTTGGGGCGGCTGTAGCATCATTTCAAAAACTGCGTGAGGATATGGATCGTGAGCCGTTGATTGATGGAACAGCTGCTTCGGGGTTTCCGCTCTCACAGGCGGAAGGCGGCTTCGAGTTCCAGGGTGTCTCATTCAATTATCCATCCAGACCTGAAGTCACAGTCCTGGACCAGATCAATCTTCGAATTCCTCCCAGGAAACACACTGCCATAGTTGGGTTTTCTGGAAGTGGAAAATCCACCATCGCGGGACTACTCACAAGATTGTATGATCCTACTCAGGGTCAAGTCTTGTTCGACGGTCATAATCTCCGGGATCTGAATCTCCACGACCTCAGAAGCTTCCTCAGCCTCGTGCAGCAAGACCCCTCGCTCCTTGACCGTTCCATATTGGAGAACATTGCCCATGGCTTGATCAATTCGAGCCATTCCAGTCACACACATCTGAAGGCAACACTCCTTGGCCCAGACCTTGCAAATCTCGCCCGCCAAGTCAGGGAGGGCCAGGACTTGAACGCTGCAGCAGAGAAACTGGGTTCAAATGTCGTCGAGATTATTTCCTTAGTCCGAAATGCCGCAGAGCTCGCCGACGCAGATTCTTTCATCGTTGCGTTGCAACACGGATACGGCACCGTGGTGGGATCGAGTGGGCGGCTGATTAGTGGTGGCCAGAAGCAACGGGTTGCTCTTGCCAGGGCTCTTGTTAAAGATCCCGCGGTTCTTATCTTGGATGAGGCTACGGCCTCCCTGGACTCAAGAAGCGAGCAGCGCATCCAGCGGGCCATATCTGGCATTGCCAGTGGCAGGACTATGATCACGATTGCTCACCGACTTTCGACTATCACTGGTGCCGACAATATAATAGTCATGCAGAAGGGGCGCATCCTTGAAGAAGGGTCTCATTCAACACTGATGGCAAAGAACGGCGCGTACGCCGACCTAGTGAGATTGCAGACTCTCGGATCCACATCTGAGAAGAACGTGACAGCAGACAGCACCCGCCAATCAGATTATGGCTCCTCAAACAAGGGTGCTACCGGAGAAAGTACACTGTCGATTGACGGGATCGGCACCGTTGAGAAGACTGAAATTTCGGCAAGCCAAGATGAAGTAAATGAATCGGTGGAAGAGCAGGAAGAGCCCGAGACCCCATCAAAATCGCTGTGGTCTTTGTTGCGAGGGTTTGCACCAGTCTTGAGACCACATCTGCTAATCATCATTATCTCGCTTTTCGCCTCGAGCGTTGTTGGCGGATCATTCTCTGCGGAGGCCGTGATCTTTGGAAACACTGTCGGCAGCTTGAGTCCTTGCCAGAGCGAGTCCTACATTCGTTCTCGGGGCAGCTTCCTCGGTCTGATGTTTTTCATTCTCGCAATCATCGAGTTCTTTGCAAATGTGACTAGTTGGACGGGGTTCGGCTGGGTTGCTGAGAAAACGGTCAGGAGCGTGAGAGTCTTATCCTTCCGATCATTATTTGGGCAAGATCTTCAGTGGCATCAGTCTGAAGGCCGGACCCCCGCCTTACTGCTCTCTTACATTACCAGAGACGGTAATGCGCTCAGTGGCTTGAGCGGCTCCGTCATCGGCACGTTGTTCTCAATCACTGTCAATCTCATTGTCGCAATTGTTTTGACTCATATTATTGCTTGGAGAATAGCACTGGTCTGCCTCTCTCTGGTGCCGCTCCTTCTTGGAGCTGGTCTTATGGAGCTCCGAGTACTCGCGAGATTTGAAGAACGGCACGAAAACGCATATACCAAATCGGTAGACATTGGCGTGGAGGCAATCACATCCATCAAGACGATCGCGTCCCTTTCACTTGAAGAAGAGACGCTGGGGACTTACCGACGATCACTAAAAGGTCCCCGCAAGGAGACGCTCAAAGTGAGCCTACACGCAAGTCTCTGGCAGGCAATGACCTATCTGCTCGGTAACCTGGTGAATGCGTTAGCTTATTGGTGGGGCTCCAAACAGATTATTGCGGGCAATTACACCCAGACACAGTTCATGATTGTGGTATTCTCCCTCCTAGTCAGCGCACTGCTCTGGAGCCAGATGTTTGCGCTCGCCCCAGAACTCACGAGCGCGCGAGCTGCGGTGGCAAGGCTCTTGGGTCTCATTGAGATAGGGCCGGATAGGACGCAAGGGCGTGTGAAGGGAACACCATCTCTGAATCTATGTTTCGAGGATAAAGACCTGGAGAAAACGGCCGAAGCAAAACCGACTCTTCCGCCCAGCAACCAGGGCTCGAGCGTCCAGCTCTGCGACGTCCACTT